TAATATTATACCTGTTACAATCTCAGTAACGCACGCTACAACACATTTTAACCTGAAGTTAAGTGGTGTTTTTGTAAAATAATTTATCAACACCGAAAACATTTCGGCAGCAGAAACACAAATCCATGAGTGAAAGAGTAACATTATTTTCCTGTTGCGGGAATCCGATGGTCGAGACTGGAGGCAGGCTGCAAAATACTGGGGGAGCTTGGCTCGTCTTATGAATCATGCGTAAATAGATTTCTATAGGCTACGAGTTTGTGCTTTAATGAATTGCTTTCATGATCAGAGAGACTGCTGTCAGTTCATCCCGACCGATCCTGTCGGAGTGTCGAGAGATTCAAATAATCAGTGACGTTATGCTGCTGAACCTCGGGCGTAAATGCACACAGCGTCTTTCTTAAAGGTATTTAAGGTGCTATTTCATCATCAGAAGATTTTCTGCTATTATGAACAAACTGCACTTTAATAAATAGAACTATAAAGCTCCAAATGTCCTGAAGACGAGAGTCTTCAGGACATTTAGCACACAGTTTGAGATCGGTGTTGTAAAGTATCTGGCCTTTCATCGCAAGCATGTTATACCAAGCCTGGATCTCAATCCTAACTGAACACTGTTTACAAAATTAGCCAGAAGCACCCCCAGACGTCGTTACTGAGGCACAGTCTTTTAATTGTGCAGATTGCAGAGGTGGGACCAAGTCATCGTTTTACAAGTCCGAGTCAAGTCTCAAGTCTTAGCACTCAAGTCCCAAGTCGAGTCCCAAGTCCAGACCGATCATGCCTGGCAAGTCCGAGTAAAGTCTCAAATCCAGGACCGTCAAGTCCAAGTCTTAAACTTTGAGTTTCGAGTCCTAAACAAGTCATAATGCCCCAAATGTAAAACCATTTCAAAAGTTTTTATGAGTTAAAAATAAAAATAATAATTATTGAATGAAGCACTAGCCTGTACAGAAAGAAGGTAGTCAGATTTTTTAAATCTTTAACTGTGTAACTTTAAGTCAGTTGGTTAATATTTAGGCTCTATAAAAGCTCCAGTCACTAAAATGGCAGCAACGTTAAGATTTTTTGTCATTAAGCCTCATCAAAACAAATTTTTACACGTTTGATAAGATACATTTTAATTTATGAACTGAGTTAGTTTGTGAAACATGAAATGTGAATGTGATGAATTTAAATGCAAATCATATCAGCTCTGTAAGTAACATCGGACATGTTTTTGTCACCTGCTTGTTTAGATTATTTCATTCTACTTTTTGTTTTACTTGACATTCTTTTAAGATACTGCTTATGTGGGGGGTATTTTTGAACTGTAGATTCATTGCTCTCTAGGTCTGGTATTTTTTAAACAGATTTGTTTGCTCTTCAGGTTCGGTAACACTCCCCACTCATGTGCTCGTGCCTGAAATGTGCTTAAAGAGGCATCCCTTTGACCTTGTTGTCAGTGAACGTGTTGTGTTGGTTTGTCTTTACAGGTATAAAGTTGTTGAGCTGGCCTTCTACTTGACGATGGGTTTTGCCCCCGCAATAGTGATAACATCAATGGTAATACTATTATTTATTAATATATTCACAGTCAGTTATTGTGTCATTTCTTCCAACCAGCAGCCCACATGCTGCTGCAGCAGGGTGGAGGTGTTAGGAGTGTGTTTTACTTCCTCTTCCTGTTGAAGGGGTCTGCAGAGTAATTTCAGAGAGTTCAAAGCAGAATGAGCTTTTATTAATAAACATATTGTTATCTAGGGTTGGGTATCATTTAAAATCTTACGATACCAGTACCCTTAAAGTGATACCGATACCAATAGAGTACTTCACTTGATACCTTGCATAGAAGCGGGTGTTGATGGTGCAGTGGATAAGATACATGCCTTTGGTGTGAGAGACCCAGGTTCAATTCCCCACAGTGACATCCACCAGTGTGTCCCTGAGCAAGACACTTAACCCCTAGAAATGCACGTAGTAAGTCTGTCATTGTATTTTGCACATTCTGTTTTTGTTCCTGCAATGCTTTTCATTTTACATTTCTCTGTACATGCCGTATTGTGTGTGCCAAATCGTACCGCTATATCAAAATGGGAGAAAATAGTTGCTAACAAGATTAGAATTTAGACTTTTTATGAGAATTTTCAACGTGATCAGATACTAATTTTCCGTTCTGTTGGACAGTGTTTGTCAAGAACACCTTCAAAAGTGCATAGTTTTTTACCATGTGAAGACACCTCATACTCATTCCACGGTCTGTATCAGTAGATTGATTAGTAGATTTTAGTGAAAGACGGCGTCAATCAGTTTTTGTTTATGTAACATTTCTCATTTGCGTCTTGTTTTCTGCAGAGCAACACTGAGGGGCTTCAGGAGCTGGCATGCGGTGGATTCATCTACTGCCTCGGTGTGTTCTTCTTCAAGAGTGATGGCGTCATCCCCTTCGCCCACGCCATCTGGCATGTCTTCGTGGCGCTGGCTGCGGCTGTGCACTACTACGCCATCTGGAAATACCTCTACAAGGCCCCCAGCGCCGATACCCTCCTCAAGTTGTGACCACAGCCAGGGCCGGATGCCGGTTCTCCACCCGCACCCTGTGCTCCTGAGCAGGGCCGCCTGCACACAGACTCTCTCAACTGCCCACTGAAGCTGCAAACACAGCCGCAAGGTTTACGAAAATAATGACCATGAATTGTTTACGGTTTTCTAAAGTGGAGAACAGGTTTTTCAGCATCATTATGACGACCAGAAGCTACTTTCAAAGCTGTTTTGTACATCTTCAGTCAAGGGGGGGGGTTGACTTTTTACAATAACCCTGGCACATCAATGAGTGTTTGAGACCTTTGATAACCGTCTTTTGTATCGCTTGTGAGTCACATTCCATATTGGGGTCATTTGTGCGTCAGAACCTGGCGATTCATGCTGGTGATGTGAACACTGGGGATTGAATGAGGTTCTTAAAATCAGTATGATGGGAAATTTCTTGAAACCATTTCAGCACCAAAAACCAAAATTATACTTTTTTTGATACAGAATTATAAACATGTTTCTCTACAAAAGTACTTTTTTTCATTTATTAAAAGAAACCAAATATCTCACAAGCAGCTGTATAAGAAGTTTGCCAGAGTAAAATTGGCAAAATTAGATTTAAATCATGAATCCTGTCAAAGAATAAGTACCGTAGAGAATGAATATGAATAGCTATTTGATGCCAACTTTTGATACTCTGTACCACAAAGTATTGAGGTTTCGATACCTCTACCCCTTGTAGCTTAATAGTGATTTGAAGTGTTCAGATCAGTGCTCTGTTGGTGGACTTTTCGATCAGGTAGGATGAAACGATAAGAAAAAGCTTTTGACAGAAGTTTGTTTCCCCGTTTTCTTTATTCTACTTTTACAACGATTACATCCTCAACCCCTCTGATCCAGATTCTCACTCTTTCCTACCCCCCCCCAATGCATGCTATGTTTCTGACCAGTATTTGAATGCAGTCGTAGGAGAACCTTTCTTTTCTGTAAGTATTTAGCGCCCTCTGCAGGTGGACTGGTGTAAGAAAGGGAATTATCTGCAGTTTATGGTGTGTGGAGGTGTAACAGGGGAGGAGGGAATTTGTAAATGAGCCAAATGATGAGAGAAAATCAGTACAGGCAGTATGATGAGATAGAATTTTTTCCACTTTATTATTAATGTGAACAATGTGCAGTAGAGTGTGGATGCACGACCTTTGTACTGTAGTCCAGTATTACATTTCCACTGACTCTCTCTCTCTCTCTGTGTTTTTGATTTGCACCACTAGACGGACAGTGTTTCCTGTCTGTATTCTGAAGCGGGTTTGATCAGTGGAGAATTAACATGTTCATGTTTTTGTCTTATGCTGTTGGTTTTGTAAATTTGCTCAATGGCTCATAAAATGACTTTTCTGTTGCTTTCCTCTTGTTGAAATGGTTTTCCTCAACCACTCTGTTTTGTAATGTTTGTATGTTCTACTCTTTGTTCTGTTCATTACATGATCCTGGCCTTTGCAGAGATAAAAACTGCTTCCTGTCTGTTCCACTGGCTGTTAACGGTGCTGCATATACATGAATGCTCCTCCACTATACTGAGTATCACCTTTCTAATGTGACAATAAAAATAATACCCCACGTCTCAGCCTCCCAACAAGCCTCATTCATAATGAGTACTCGTAGGTTTCCTTTTGAATTCTGCTTGTATGGAGTCTTGTTTTCAATTTCAAGTTCTCATTAGACATTAATTTCTTTCAGGGACAAAAAACAAACGGGAACCTTTTAATTAAATGTACGGTGGCTGTTGCACTGCCCGCTGATGAGTGAATTTGTGTTTGATACCATTGCTAATACGATACACTATTGAGGAATATTTAAAATGTCTTCTATTTAACAATGTGTTAACACAAGGCAGCCATACAAGAAATGTGCTTAAATTAGGAAAACAAATATTAAAATCAGGAAATATTTGATCATAGAATTTTTTTAAATACTGCTATGAATCTGACTAAGCGTTCACCACCAAATTTAAGTATTTGACACTTCAATACTCTGTGCTAGAGATGCATTTTAGTCAGTATCCCATAAGAATATAAGTTTGATACTGTGTCAATACTGCCTGTGTTTCAGTACAGAGAAAGTAATAGTGTCTTTGATTCATTTGCTTGAAGGTTTTTCTACAGAACCCATTTTAAACCAAAATAAGTCTAACTTTAAGTAATGGTCTTTAATTTCTTGCACACATCAAAGGGCTAAAAACATTCACTGCTGAAAGACTGATGATGGAAACATTGATTAGAAGGCACCCACATCTGTCTTTCTTTCAGTCCTTTGGATTTTTACATTTCAGGGTGGACAAATTTGCTGTGAAAACATTAAAAAATACCTTTACTAGAATTTAATGATTTCTGATTTCTATTTATCCTGTACAAAACAGCTGTACAAAAACATGGCTTTTCCATCAGTATTTTAAAACCATTCTGCTTGAGTGAGAGAAGAAATAAGAAAACATGTCAGAAAAGAATTGGGATTTTATTAGACACTACAAATTACAGAGAAACGGAGAGGCTAAGGGCCAAACTGCACAAATAAATGTTATGCATCCATTCCATGACAAACAAGACCGAATACACATTTCTGTTGTATTTTTATACACGCTGAAACAGTCTGTTGGTGTTGCCATGAATACAATGGTTACAAGTCTGTTGCAATGTCCAAAATAAGAAATGAAAAGAGTTGTCAGTGTATATAATATATAGATTTTTTGACGCACTAAGAAGCCCTTCAGTGCAGATGTGAACATATCCGATTGGTGCTGTGATGAGAACTTTACATTGCTGAGAGACTGGGGAACAGTCAGTGTATTCAAGGCACTGGAATAGACTCAGAATTATGGTTAACGTTTCCGGGTGAGGTAGTGAAATCACTCGACAGTGAGGTAATTTTGGGATACACATGGATTAATTATTGGCTTTTTCCTATATTTGTATGATTTCATATAAAGATGCTAACCAGATTCAGGAGGCATCGTTCCAGTCTTGACTCTTCTCTTCGAACCCTGTTCATACTCGAGTGCGTCTCTGCAGATAAGAAGGGAAACTCCCTCTAAAGCGCAGAAATACTAAGAAATTAGTTTGTGGTTAGAAAATAATCACTTTATGTCGCACACACCTATGGATCGGATCAATAACGTTCAACCAAGCCTGGACTGGGATTTGACTTATATATCCTTAGATGTTTTATTGGGCCGATATTGGCTTTTCTAATTGTTTTGTTTAGGGTTGTAATGTTTTCAAATCTTTTCCACCCTGAAAAGAACCAAATACTGATGCCTCAAAATATAAAGATGTCGGCACAAAAATATGGAAGTCCAGGGCTGCCACTATTCAAATAAAATTATTTACTCATTAAGAATAATTTCATTTACTGTTTGGGTGATGAAACATAAAATGTAACATAAAAATGTTAATTTCAATCACATGTTATACACATCCAAATAGAATAGGACATTTCTATTGTATAAAAAGGGGGTAATTTCATATTTTGGGATTCTTTTTGCCCAGTTAGATCAGAAAATCAATACTCCCATGTCCTCTAAGCTACAGCCAGCAGTTGGTTAGCTTAGCTTGGTACAAGACTGGAAATAGGGGAAGTGGCCAGAACTCACCAGCACTTAATTTTCATGTTATATCCCGTCTGTTTAATTTGTACAAGAAAGACACAAAAGTGTAAAAATATCGTGACCAAAGTATTTGTCACCATTGCACCCATCCAGGAAATATACATACATAAAACCAAACTGTACACCAAACCAAAGTGTAATATCAACAGTTTAGAGGTGCTGGTAGGTGGGTTTTGATTCCCTCCATTTGAGTCTTTGTGTTATGCTAAGCTAAATGGTTGCTAATTGTATTTTCATACTTAATGAAACATGAAAGTGGTATTAACTGTCAGCAAATGTCAAACTATTTCTTTGGATGATTTCATTTTTAATTCGACAGCCCTGGACTTCCATACAAATTATCAGAAACATCAATATCAGCCCTCAAAAACATAAATCGGTCGCATCCGAGTCTTGGACTGACTGGCAAAAAATTTTGCAGCATGCAGCGCTACACTACAGCACAACTAACATTTGGGGTGGGGTGGGGGGGGACTCCACTGCAAGCTTTCACTTTCACAAAAGAAATGAAGCTTTCCAGTGTCCATCACTCAGGGTCAGGGACACGCTACAACTGCATTGGAAGGAAACAAACACACACAGAGCAGCAATAGAAAACCAGCTATAGATTTCCCTTCCTTCATAGTAACTTCATCCCGTCAAATAAGATCTAAAAGAAACAAACTAACAAGCTGTGTGGTTACAAAAAGCCTTGAGAAGTTAAAATATTCACCACTGAAAGAAAAGAAAGCCTCGACGACTTATTAAATGTCCGGAAGTGTCGGCGGAAGGTTACAAGTGTTTTCTTGTTGGGTTTGAGTTGATGGATTTTGAATAGGGCACAAGTGTACATTCTCTCTTTTGGACTGCATTTTCAGCATTGGCTTCCTTAGAGTTAAATGGGATTTACATGGCATGGTTAAAGGTGGCACCAACATAAGCAGGAGTGTCATCATAATAATAATATTCATAAAGATAATAATAATGCCCTGGAGGTTTGGGTGCTGCTTAATATCCACAAATCTCTAAAACTACCACATCCTAGCTAATATAGATTATCAAAATACCACTATATGCATTTGTCTTTGAGTTATATACTTGTATTCTTTAATAATATTCTGGATCTGTTGTGCCTTTAAAATACATAGTTCATTAATGTATAGGAAAAATACTGTACAAAAAGAACAACTTATAGAATAGGTTTATATAAACATATCTCTTGTAACCAATATATCATCTCTGTTGTGAATCGTTTGGTCTGCAGTAAACAAATTGATTGGGTTAACCACAGTATTGGACAACACCATCCAACTTTTTTTTGTCAACATCTTTTACATTCATACAGCCATCTTTAAAAAGAGGGCAAACGTAGAGCTACAATGAGAGACTACAGACATCTGGATTCATTTCTAAAATAAAAGCACTCATATTAATCATGCTAAGTTAAACAGAAGCAAACAGAATTATCAACAACTTTGCAAAAAAAAAAAAGAAAAAAAGATTTGCAAACAGCTTTTCGTTCAGTGAAAGAAAATCATGCTTAAATCTGAAAACAAGGAGGAGGCTAAACGACAACAATGTCAAGAGCAGTATTAATACTAACAATTATATCAACAGAATACATATATGTATATATATATATATATATTAAAAAAAACAACAATCTTCCATCTGAGAAATAAAAGGTTGATAAATATGAGGCGGAGGAATTTTGAGCGAGTGGAACCGTTGCACCGGATCAGATTGTGAGACGCGCGTTAGTGCAGAGGTTAGCTACCCTTAGTTAATTGAGGTGAGCTAAAGTGAGAGGTGGAAAGAAGGGCGAGATCTAGGAGCAGGGAGGGGTGAGGGACATGTAGGTAGTCATGTTAGTTTAGTTCTGGATAGGAATTATTGCTCAGTGTCCGGATGAAGGAGAAAAACTAAAACAATATATATTTTTGAAACGGCAACTCTGCACCACCATTGCACAAAAAATGTGCTATGTTTTAAAATAACGAAAACGCTGTTACTGAAGCCAGAGGGGTAGATGAGTTAGAGCGCTGGGAGGCAAAACAGTAACACAACATGTACATCAAGAAAAGGGGTTAAACGTTGCTAATGGGAGACAAGCAAACGGTTTAGAGGGCATTAAAAACACAAGTTTTGGGGGTTATAAGCAGACACGTCACATGTTAATACCAGAAGAAGAAGAAGACATAGAAGAAGGGAAACAGGAAACAGTTTTCAGTCCTGATGTCACGTATAAAAATCGGTATGAAAGTGAACAACAAACACCATGGCATTGTTTCTCAAAAGTGGAAGGTTGTGGTGGACTCAGCTGGTGGGTTGGCTCATAACTCCTCACAGTACATTAAAGTGGGAAGTATGCATGTGTAAATACATATATTTATCTATGTATATATATTTAGTCGAACAATGTGTACAGAAAATAAAAGAAGGAACAGACAAATTGAAGCTTATGATAGAAGTCAAAATGACAGATATAATACCTGAATCATACAGGTGTGTGTTGGTTAAGGGGGGAGGGGAGGGGGAGGCAGGAGGTTTGCGGGAGGAGGACGAGTTGGAGGTGGAGGAGGAGGGGGCAGTGCCACCAAAAGAGGCACATAGTCCTTCAAACTTAAGGGAAGGTGGGTTGGGGTAATGAAGTGGGAGTGGGTTGGGTTTTTTGGGGGGGGCTCACAGAGGCCCGTGTCGGGCCTCGTATTTAGCCAGAATGTTTTTGCACCGGCCCAGCTCCTTCCTCATGTCCGCTACCTCTATGCGGAGAGCGGCGTTCTCCTTCTCCAGAAACCCGGCCCGGATGGCGATCTGGTTCTCCTTCAGCCGCCGGGCGTCCCGTGACCTCTTGGCTGCCACGTTGTTCTTTCTGCGCCGGGCCCAGTATTTATCATCCTGAAGAGCAGAGCAGACGGGTTAGCACTGAACACAGCAATGTTTATCAGAAATCACTAATACCGCCCTCTTGCTAGCTGCTGGCAGGGTCAAAAGGTCAGGAAGCTCTCCGTTTAAAATATTAGCACCAGTAAAAAACATTGGTTCATAAATAATAAAAGCACAAGGTCAGAGTATTTTTTTTGTGCTTATAGAGTATTGAAAACTGCCAATTCAGTTTTTATTACCTTTAGGTCTTCGGGAATGAAAACCTTGCGGGCTTTCTTGATCATGGGCTGTGGCTTCAGCTCCTCTGCGGAGAATTTGCGTTTCCTGGGGTCGAACATTTCCTGGCCGGGCACACTGGACAGAGCCAGGTCTGCCGGGTCAGGCTCGTAGCTCAGGGGCACCTGGATGGACTCTGGGTCTATGGGGCTGGGGGTGTCCCGGGCTGAGGGCAATGCTGCAGGAGGACAGGAAAAAATATCACACATTAGCTGCCAGCAAACACACAGAGTCATCCTGTTTTCTCATAACGACGGTGTACAGAGTGCTGAAAACTTAGAGTGGAGAGGAGAGAAGCCAGTGGGAACCAAACTCTAAGTACCTCTGATTGTGACTCTAATGGAAGAAATGGCACCATTAAAGTTCAAGCTGGCACTTCCATTTAGGGTAACTGGTAGGGCTGCAACTAATGACTATTTTCGTAGTCGACTAATCTGTTAATTATTCATTAGATTAGTTTACTAGTCACAATTATTTTTGTCACCCCCTAACCATAATTAAACCATTTAACTAATTAAATATCTTTCGAGTGAATAAGTGAACGAGGTTTACTATTCAGAATAAACAATACTATCAACACCAGGGGGAAAATAGGGAAGAAGACAAGACAGGGTAGGATACTCCTATAATTCACCCATTTCCTATTGCACTCATTTGCTAACACAACTAAAAGAGCATTCAGTTAGCCAGAATCATCCATGAGACCTCAAAAACAAGAACGCAAAGAACAACAGAGAGGCTGCTCCAAGATAACAGCCAGGCTTTATCACGCGAAACAATAAGCTGACAATCTGATTTATTGCCAAGAGATTTAACTTTAAAATTTAAAACTTTTCAACAAAGGATTTTTGCTTTGGAACTATAGAAAATAAATGCAAATTAAAAGCAGATACTGTAACCACAACTGTACACTAACAATGTAATGTCTACTTAAATAAAGCATAAAGCAACAGCCCCTTTCATAATACTTCTGTAGTTTATTTAGCTTTTGTAAGTGGAGAATTTTCTGTTGGCTACATCACGAGCCACATGGTTCTTGATTTACTTTAAAATGTTAAACCATTACTCAGATCAGTAAGGACAGAATAACAGTGGTACGAATGTTGAGACTATCTTACAGTTGTGGCCTTTCCTCTGTCGCTGCTGCTCTGTTTGACTCAGATTGTATAAGAAGTGGACGTAGTCATCGTGACGTCACCCGTTGGTTTGTGGACTGCTGTTTTGAAGCCTTGAGTTTGACCTATAGGTCGCTGTGATGTTGAGTTTTTGCAACCAGCGGCACCGGACGCGACCGTATTTGGATGAGACGGTGGAGCTAACGGCCGTGTGTGGAGCTAGCGAGCTTGCTTAGCTAGGTGCATCTGTAATTCACCCTAACTTTCATTTTAACAGAACTGACAATTTTGTCTAGTGAACAACAGTCTAAAAACTAAAGATAATCCCGCCCTTAAGCATTCTCTGCTTTATGGTCCAATTTCCTTTAAATGGGACCATGATTTACTAAATAAATATCATGTTGTATTGACGAAGACATGAAACTAGCGATTGAGACCATAAACTCATCAGGAAAGTGTTTACAGAGGTAATTATTCAGCTAAGAAGTAGGTTCATTTTACCATAATTTCTAATGGAGCCGGACTTCTTTTTGCAACCAGAAGAGTCGCCCCCTGCTGGCCGTTCAACAGAATGCAGGTTTAAGGGACTTCCTCGTTAGTTTGCTGACCGGAAGCTTCCCGCTTTGTTTGACTGCTGCAGTGGTCTGAGTAACAGGGACCAGAGAGCGTTTGAGCCTTTTTATATACAGTCTATGGTTTCAGCACATTTTCGATTCGCCATTAACTTTCGTAAAACTGCCAATATTCAAGTTCTACACAGTTGATTTCTCGTCTCAAAACCTGTCAAAAGTGTATTTATAGATGAAATGGTGTACAGAATTTGTAAAAAAAAAAAACAAAACCGTTCTGCTGTTGGCCTCTTTCTCTGTTGCTTTCCGCTTTTCGCATGAAAGCTTCTTTTTTGTGAGTAGTCTTACAGTCAAGCAGTCATGCCAGACAATGCAAGCGATACTACCCCCAGCACTACCTGTAGCGCATTGCTGTTAGAAATGAACAACCAGAAATGTTCTGAATGAGAAGATCTGTCCCTTAAACGGCATCTTTGAAACGGCGCTTGCTTTTTAAATAATTTTTATAATCAACGTTGTCGACTACGTCGACTAATTGTTCCAGCCCTAGTTACTGGTAACGCAACATTATGAGTGAGTCTTCATCAGCAGATCTTTTCTGTGGAGCTCTTACAGCTGGACAGAGGACACAGTAGGAGCCTCTCGAACTGAGCAGGAGGCCTCTGAGGGGGAGCTGAATGCTGCCTTTCTTCCCTCTGAGCTCACATGTTTGTGTTCAAGGCCATTAAGAAATGTCAGGCTTTGACAGAGTCTCAGTGTCGGTGCAGATGTAAAGCAAGAGAACAGGTGACTTCATTTCTAGAGAAAGAACAGTTTCATTTGTATAGAAAAGTATTTGCGTAACCTGACCAGCAGATGGTGCTATCACATAAGCTTTAAAAACGCTGCACCCTGAGAAATCATTTCACTGTTTCATCTTAAACTCTGCAGCTATCAGCAGTCCCCGTCAGCTGATCTGAAACCACCAGGTTTTGTCTTTCAACTGTCTGGAGGGGATCTGCTCCTCACATTTCTCTGCCTGTTGTGCAAACTAAGCTTCTCCACTTGATTTGAAGCTGCAGGCGACCAGCGGAGGGTGACTCAGTTCATCAGCCGGCCCACCTGGAACAATTTCTCTGAGACTCATTACACTAGCACTAATTTGTTTTGTCATTCAAACCACACCTGCATTTCCCACTTGATAAGAAAAGCTCGACGAGCAACACAACAACTGGGAATCTGACTGAAAGCAGCAAAGTGCAGCAGGCATTTTAATTAGCTGCTGATGTGCTGCCAGCTCGTACATCATGACCTACATTTCGTATTTGTGAACTTGCAGTGACAGATAGTCAAGGCCGCTGACCTTCAGTCAGGGGTGTACACGGCCAAACTGCTTTCGGGTGCGGCGGAGATTTGAGAAGGGGCCATAAGATTTGGCTCTGACTGCTCTCTGTGTACGTCTGTGCTCAGTCAGTACTCAGCCGGTACATCTGGACACTGATCACTGTGATCACTTCAATCCTGCTCAGATTAAAGTCACATCACAAAGACACAAAACCTCAACTGAGGGCCACGCTGCCTGAGATTTCTCTGTTTACAACAAGGAAAACAAAAGTGTTTTGTTTTAAAAAAAATAAAAATATGTAGGGCTGTTAAAAACTGCTTATTATCACCTCATAAAACTGAGCATAAATGTGGAAAAATACCCCAGTGAAAACAACAACTTTCTCAGAAAAGACACGTTTCACATGCATGCCTTCTACAGATGGTTGATGTTGCAGTTCACTACACACAAGTAGGGACGGGTATGCTTGGAAATACAACACCAAAATGACTTTATTTAAAATGTTGATATAGGAAAATTTGACTGTCCAAAATTATTGTCATTTCTGAATGTGTAAGAATGTGTTAATTTCTGTTTCTGATGAGCACCTTAGCTGCTGCTCGTCAGTGTGTAAATGGGAATGTGTTGTGGTGTAAGGCACTGGTCCGAAAGGCGCTATGTGGAAGTATTATTTTTATTATAGTTTTTCTAGATGTGTTGGTTAATGAATTGGTTGGTCTGTAAAATGTCAGAAAATAGTGAAAAACATCCATCACAAGTTTCCAGATCCCAAGGTGACGTCTTTACATAGCTTGTTTTACTGGACTAACAGTCTAAAAGATAAAAATGTAATGATATAAAACAGAGAAACGATGCAATTCGACACCTTTACCAGCAGGGAATATTTGGCATTTTTGCTTGAATAATTATTGAAATAACTAACAGGTTATCAAACTTGTTGCTAATCTTAAAACACAATGTTTTCTCTGCCAGCAGCTCTTAGAATTTCTGACCTTAAGATCATCACACAACTCCTTTTCATAAGACACATATCGCCCAACTTAACCTCCCACCATTCATAAGCTGAGCACAGCAAGCTACTTACTAACTAAGACGCTGTCTTAGACAATCTATCAGGCCTGCACTCAAACCTGCAAATAGCCACCTTGATCTAATCACCTTTGGGAGTCATTTTGATCTCCTAATTAGCAGAGTTAAAACACAGTGGCTTGGTCATGGGCTAAAAGTAGACGTACAAGCCCATTCATTGGCCTATAATGGCCTTAAACTAAAGTACGACACACTCCAGCTGAGAGGGAACAGACGAACGTGAATTCACAAAATAGCCCCGCCGCCCCATGTCCTCCTCCACCCTCCTGAACAGGAAATCTAAAATTAGCGAAGAAAGGTAGCGCAGAGCTAACCTACAAAGAGCCGTGTGAAAGCTGGAACTCTTGATTAAATACCTGCAGAAATTGCTTTCATTAGATGTGAAGGTTGCAGGTCGGTGTCACGCTAGGTGATCATATCAGAGTGTTATCATGCAGCTCTGTGGGTGATAGTGCTGCAGTTCGTGATAAGCGGAGCTGCTGGTTGTCTCTGTGTGCAGGGACAGAGCTGCTGAACTCTGACCTGGGTGTAACACGGGACCACAGCCAGTTCTTTCCCTCAAAGACTGCACTTTGGGGCTAAAGGGCAAAAAGACGACTGGAACTGGTTCACATGACGTGCTGTGTGTGCAGCTTCTTCCTCTGTACCATACAGCTCCAGTGTTGTCCACAAAACTTTTAAAAACACATCATTGAGCCACACTATTGCACTGAGTGATATGTTCCTTTATTATCATGAACACACACTATAGATTATTTGACTAAATATTAACTATTATATTGCTTAGATTTAAGATTGTGCATTAAAACACAACTGAAAATAGTCCCCACCAAATGCACGTTATTTCCTGCTGTTTGAGTAAAGTTTGCTAAAAACCAAGACATGCAAATCAAGAGGACTTCAATCCTCCAGGTCACTCATGCAGGAGCTGCTGATCCTGTCCACAGGACACATGACCAGATATATGAGAGGGAAGCTTGGCTTGCAAGAAACCAGGCTAGAGGAAATTACAACTACAACAATGGGAAAGATAAAATAAAATAAGATATGCAGTGCAGGACTTAAAAGCACACTGATAAAT